CTTCACAGATGCTGCCAGACCTGCTGAACCTCTCCAGCAATTTTTTTTGTACATTCTTGGCTACCCTGTCTACCTGTGACGCCACTTTCAATGAACATCTGTGCTTGTACTCCTAGGTCCCTTTGTTCCACAACACTCCTCAGGACCTTACCACTTACTGTATAAGTCTTACCTTGGTTTGACTTTCCAAAGTGCAACACCTCGCACTTATATGTATTGAATTGCATTTGCTAATCCGCAGCCCACTTTCCCATCTGATCAAGATCCCTCTGTAATTTTTGATAACCTTTCTCGCTATCAGTGATACCTCCTAATTTTGTATCATCTGCAAGCTTACTAATCATGCCTTGTACATTCACATCTGGATCATTTATGTAGATAACAAATAACAAAAGTCTCATCACCGATCCCTGTGGCACGCCACTAGTTACAGGTCTCCAGTCCAAAAAACAACCTTCAACCATCACCCTCTGCTTACTACCATCGAGCCAATTTTGAATCCAATTAACTAGCTCTCCCTGGATCCCATGCAACCTAACCTTCATTACTATCCTGCCGTGCGGGACCTTGTCAAAGGCCTTACTAAAGTCCATATAGACAACATCCACTGCCCTACCCTCATCTATCCTCTTGGTTACCTCTTCGAAAACTCTAGATGTTTTGTCAGATATGACTTCTCTTTCAAGAAATCCATGCTGATTATCCCTAATCAGACCTTGACTATCCAAACGTTGGTTGATCCTGTGTCTCAGTATCTTCTCCAAAAACTTGCCTATTGCTGATGTTAGGCTCACTGGCCTGTAGTTCCCTGGCTTGTCTCTGCTACATTTTTTAAACAATAGAACAACATTGGCCACCCTCCGGTCTTCTGGGACTTCACCAGTGGCTAAAGATGAAGAAAAAATCTCTGCTTATTCCGGACTGACATCTTCGCTGTTACTGATGTTAGGGTCATGTTATCAGTTATATCATCATGACTTACATGTATCTCATTTTACCATGGTTTCTTTCTATGATTCCCTCTCGGATTCTGCCGATGATTTCCTTTGTTTTGGCTACCGCTAAAATTAATTTATTTCCAGATTTATTAATTGAGTTTAAATTCTGCCAGCTGCAGTGGTGGGATTTTAACTTCCCAGTGCACTAGGCTGAGTTTATAGATTAGTAGTCCAGTGACATTACCACTACGGCGCTGTCTCCGTAGCTGTAGTTTCAGCTCCTATACCTCAGTAGTCATTTCTGTTATTTTGCCGATAGTTCGAGTTCAACCTTGCAAAAGGTTGCCAGTGTACTTTTAACAAATGAACATAAGATTATTACACAAAAAAGAAAAGACAAAGCTATTTCTTAAAAGCCAATTTGGAAAGATCTTATTATAATTAGCAAGAAGAAAGTGCTATTTCTCAGCAATATCCCTTACTGATATTCCACCTCCGTGAAGTGTCTATCCTATCTTCACTCTTTAATTCTTCACTCAATTGACAATTGTTTCCTTTCTGTGACCTTTTGTATATTCGCCGGATGTAATTCTCTCTATCACTGTCTCTCCCCAAGATACGCAGCCACAGGCTAACTCACTGATTTGTTTTTTTTCTTTTTAAATTTTAAGAAAAGCTCAAGGGTTTTCCAGCCCTGTCAGCATGGACTGCTAAAACAGCATGAGACTTCTTTCCAGTTCTGATAGTCTGGAGACTGCCAGAATGAATCTAGCCTTTTGCTGGTACGGATCGACCTTCTGAACTGACTTGCCACTGACCTCTCTTGGCATAACTCATAAAAGCTCAACTCAGTAAACACTTCATCAGTAGTTTCACCAGATAGTTCATCTAATCATTTAAATTAATACATATGATTTCTTGGAAATGCTATTTTGACTCAGTGCCAAAAAAGTGAATTCTGACCCTTAAAAAGAAGCTACCTTCACAGAATTAAAAACCAAAAACAAATGCAGAAAGTAGGTACAGGGTTAGGCTATTTAGCCTTTTGAGCCTGCACTGCCATTCATTACAAACACGGTTGACTGTCCAACACAGTACTCTCTTCCTGCTTTCTCCCCACATCCTTTGACTCTTTTAGCCCTCAGAACTAATCTAACTCCTGCTTGAAAACATTCAATATTTTGGCCTCAACCGCATTTTGTAGCAGAAAATTCCACAGATTCATCCTTCCCTGGGTGAAGAAATTTCTTTTCATCTCAGTCTACATGGTATATCCATGTCCTTAGATTGTGACCCTTGGTTTGGGATTCCCTGGTCACTGGGAACATCTTCTTACATTTACCCAGTCTGGTCCTGTTAGACCTTAGTAGATTTGTATGAGATTTCTTCCTCATTCTTCTAAATTTCAATGACTATTGTACAAACTGATCCAGTCTTTTTTCAAACATCAGTTTTGCCATCCCAGAAATCAGTCTGATAAATCTTCATTCTACTCCCTCCATAACCAGAACATCCTTCCTCAGATAAGGAGAGCAAAGATAAGGAGTACACATTAATCCAGGTGTGGTCTCAGCAAAACATCTCTTCTCCTGTACTCAAATCATATTGCTACGATGGCCAACATACCATTTGCCTTTTTCGCCACTTGCTGCACCTGCAAGCTAACTTTAAGAGTTTGGTGTACAAGAACATTTATATCTTGTTGCACCTCCCCCTTTCCCCATTCAGATAATAATCTGCCTTCCTGTTTTTGCTACCAAAGTGGATAATGTCACAATTATCCACATTATACAGCACCTGCCATGCATTTGCCCATTCATTCAACTTGTCCAAATTACACTGAAGCATCTCTACATCCTCCTCACAGCTCACTCTTTCATCCAGCTTTGTGTTGTCTGCAAACTTGGAAAGATTAAATTTAATTCCCTTGTCTAAAACATTAATATATATTGTGAGTAGCTGAGACTAAGCACTGATCACATGGTACACCAGTAGGCACTGCCTGTTACTTGGGAGAAGTCCCATTTATTCCTAGTCTCTGTTTCCTGTCTGCCAGATAGTTCTTTATCCATGTCAGTACCCCCAATCCCATGTGCTTTAATTTTACACACTAATCTCTTACATAATACCTTATTGAAAACTTCTGAAAGTTTCAAGAAAAGCACATCCACTGACTCCATGTATCAACTCACTCAAATAGTTATATCCTCAAAAGATTCCAGTAGATTTGTTAAGCATGAGTTTCCTTCCCTAAATCCATGCTGTCTCCAACCCTGTCACCGTTTTTCAAATGCTCTGCTATTAAATCTTTTGTAATGAACTGTAGCATTTTCCCTACCACTGATGTCAAGCTAGCTGGTTGATAATTCCATTTTCTCTGTACCACCTTTTTAAAATAACGGGGTCACATAAGCTACCTTCCAATCCATAGGAACTGTTCCAGAGTCTATAGAATCTTAAAAGATGACCACCAATGCATCTCCTATTTCTAGGGCTACTTTGTTAAATAATCTAGGATGTAGATCATCGGGCCCAGCAGGCCTATCAGCCTTATATCCCGTCAATTTCCATAACACCATTTCCCTGCTAATACTGATTTCCTTCACTTCTCCCCTCTCACCGTGCCCTGCATTCTCTGACATTTTTGGAATGTTATTTATATCCTCCTTTGTGAAGACAGAGCCAAACTTTGTATTTAATTGATCTGCCATCACTTTGTTCCCCATTATATTTTCTCTGTTTCTGATTCTAAGGGATCTACATTTGTCTTCTTTAGTCTTTTTCTCTTCACGTACCTATAGGATTTTTTTACAAACAGTTTGTATATTCGCCACAAGCTTACTTTCATGAAAACCTACTTAGTCTACTTTATAATCCAATTTCCTAAATACCAGTAATGTTATAAATTTTCATCGCTCTAGCAATCTTTCGCAAAGTTATTGTATTCACTTAAAGGCTCAGTGAGGAAATTCTAGGTGGTTAGAACTGACAGCAATGTATAGAACTATATGTGCTAGGATCCAACCTACATTTTGTGATATTTTGAAGTAATAAACAGGTAATAAGCCCTTTAATAAATATTGAGCTCCTTACTGAGTGAGAGAATGAACCTGTATGCACCAGGTTCTCCTGTCTGATAGTTTAAACAAATGCATTAACCTTTTTAAAATTGTCACATGAGTTTGTTAACAGGCTTGCTAATTGTTTCTGGGCTGATTATGGTTATTTGTTTAATACTTGCAAACATGCTTAATATTTAATGTGTTTTGTGCTCACTATCATGTTCCATACTTTTAAATGTGTTCAATATTTGTTTAAATGTTTATTACTTTAAACTAAATTGTGAAGGTAAGGGCTCAAGTGAGGGGTAACGTGATAAATTGAAGAGAGAAGGGTTCTTGTGGCACGGAGGTGGTGTCCCTACCTATGGATCGGTTGGTCCGAGTTCAAGTCCTGCCTGCTCCAGAGGTGTGTAATAACATACCTGAACAAATTGGTTGAAAAATAGATTAAATTAAAAAAAATTGGAGTGAGAAAGGTTCTTATGTAAAGCAGCAATGCCCCTACCTCTGGATCAGGAGACTTGGGTTCAAATCCCACCTACTCCAGGGGGGTATAAAAACGTCTCTGAATAGGTTAATTAAAAGAGACAGTATAAGAAAGGAAAAGAAGGTACCTTTAAGGGAATTAATCATCTGACTGCGGCAGGAAGAGACAGGGTGTCCAAACTTAAAAGTGCACTAGTAAATTGTTCTAGAGGTTGTGAAAGCAGTAAAAAACATAGAATTAAAGGAACTGTATCTGAATGCACAGTATTTATGCCAAAGTAGATGCTTTGATGGCATAAATGGAAGTAAACAGATATTATCTAATCATTTTTATAGATGAGCAAGCTGGGAATTGAATGTTCAAGGGTATTCAACATTTAGGAAGGATAGGGGGGATAAAGGAAAGGAGTAGCACTATTAATAAAGGATGAGATCTGTATAATAATGAAAGGATCTTCAATCGACAATTGACCAAGGAGTGAAAATGGCAAGCATTAGCAAACATGGTAGGTGTTGTTTTTGGCCACCAAGTGGTCGTGGTAAAATAGGGCATGGTAGCAAGCAGGAAATTAGAAATCAGAGGAAACTAGAATGTACACGGACAGGAGTAAACCTAATTAGCACTAATGGTGTGGAGGATAAAATCCTGGAATGTATACATTGGTTTTTAAATGATTTTTAAAGAACAGTATGTTGAGGAACCAACTAGTGAACAGGAAATTTGGATTTTGTATTGTGCAATTTGAAAGGCTAATTAATAACAATTGTAACAGAGCCTCTTGGGAAGTGGCACCAGAATATAATATAAAATTTTATATTAAAGTTTTAAAGTCATGAAGATTCAATCTAAAAATAGGAGCTTAAATCAAAATAAAGGATACTGTGAAGTTATGAGGGGCAAATTTGTTGTGGTAGGTTAGGAAACTATTAAAAGGTATGACGGGCAATAGCTAGCACTTAAAGAATTAATCCATTTTTTACAAAAAATTTAGATTATTTTAGAGGCACAAAACCCAACAGGAATAGCTAACAAGAAAAGCTAATGATTGTGTTAGATCAAAGGAAGATATTTAAAAAGTTATCAAAAAAGTGATAAGCCTGAACATTTGAAAGCAATTTGGAACTCATTAAATGAGAACCAAAAAGAGAAAATAGAATCTGAAAGTAACCTAGCAAGAAGCATAAAATGAATTATAAAAGCTTTTATAAATATGCAAAAAAGAAAAGATCAGCAAAGACAAATGTGAACCGTTACAGGTAAAGACTGGTCAGTTTATACTGGGGGATAAGGAAATGTCAGAGAAACTAAACGACTATTTTGTACCCATATTCGTGGAAGATCAGAAAAACCCTCAGGTAGGATAAATGGGTCTTAGTCTGAATGGAAGGCAGTGACTAGTGGGTGCAACAGGGATCAATGTTAGGACCCCAGCTGTTCACAATATAATCTAATTATTTAGATAAGGGAACCAATCGTAATAGCTCCAAATTTGTAGATGACACAGAGTTGGGTGGGAGGGTGAGCTGTGAGGAGGATGCAGAGATGCTTTAGTGTGGTTTGGATACGCTGAGTGGGTGGGCAAATGCATAGCTGATGCAGTACAATGTGGATGAATGTGAGGTTGTCCACTTTGATAGTAAAAACAAGAAGGCAGGTTATTATTTGAATGGCTATAAATTGAGAGAGGGCAATGTCCTCTTACACCAGTTGCTAAAACTTATTGTGCAGGTGCTAAAGAAGGCAAATGGAATGTTGGCCTTTATAGATCACATCAGGAATATTGTGTGCAGTTTTGGTCTCCTTAACTGAGGGAAGATACTCTTGCTATTGAGGAAGCACAGTGAAAGTTTATCAGACTGATTCCTCAGATGGTGGGTTTGATGTATGAGGAGAGGTTGAATTAGTTGGGATTATATTCACTGGAGCTCAGAAGATTGAAAGGGAAAACCTATAAAATTCAAACAGGACTAGACAAGGTAGATGTTCCTAAAGGCAGGGGAGTCTGAACTGGGAGTGGGAGGTCACAGTCCAAGGTTATGGAGTAAATCATTTAAAACTGAGATAAGGAGAAATTGCTGCACCCAGAAATTGTGAACCTGTGGAATTTGTTACCATAAAAAGCAATCAATGCCAAAACATTGTGTAATTTCAAGAAGGTGTTGGATAAAGCACTTGGGGCTAAGGATATGGGGAAATGCAGGAACAAACTATTGAATTGCGTGATTACAAATGCTCATAATGAATGGTGAAGCAGGCTTAGAGGACCAAAAGGCCTACTGCTGTTATTTTCTATGTTTCTACTGGTGTATAATAATCACAGGAGACTTCGAACTGCATATAGACCGGTAAATTTAATTTGCAGCAATGCAATGAAGGATGAATTCCTTGAATGTATATGAGATGTTTTTCTAGAACAGTATGTTAAGAAATCAACTAGAGAACAGGCTATTTTAGATCTAGTATTGTGCAATGATAATGGGATAATTAGTAACATAATTGTAAATGAACCTCAGGGAAAGAATGACCGTAATGTGCTTTAGACCAGGAATTTTGAAGACAAATGACGTTTTTTGCAAAAGCATTTGAGTACAAGAGAAAAAGAACGCTTGCTCCACTTGCATTGAGCCTTGGTAAGTCTACACTGGGAGTATCAGGAATAGTTTTGGTTCCCTTACCTAAGGAAGCATATATCTACCATTAAGAAAGTACAACAAAAGATCTCCAGACTGATCCCTAGGATTGCAGGAATTTCCTATGAGGAGAGATAGAAATGACCAGACCAATACTCTTTAGAGTTTAGAAGAATGAGAGATGATCTCATTGAGGCATACCAAATTCTTAGAGGGTTTGATAGGGCAGGTACAGGAAGGCTGTTTTCCCTGGCTCTGGGGTCTTGAACAAGGTGACACAATCGCAGAATGAGAGGTAGGCCATTTAGGACTGAGATGAAGAGGAATGTCTTCACACGGAGAGTAGTGACTCTCTGGAATTCTCTATCCCAGGGTGCTGTGGAGGTGCAGTCATTGAATGACAGGGATAGATATGCTTATAGATATTAAAGAAATCAAGGGATATTAAAAATTTATGTAAAAATGGTGTTGAGGTACAAGATCAACCTTGATCTTGTTGAAAGTTAAAGCATGTTTGAAAGTCTGAACCCCCTCCTCCTGCTTCTGTTTTTTGTGCTCCTAAAGTGTTACCTGTTTATATGTTCAAAACTTGTTAATCCACTTGATATCTGGTTGTGTTGTTCAAATCTTGTCTATGCGTTTGTGACTTGCGTATGTGTTTAATTCATAACATTTTTATTTGCAATATCACAGCACAACAGGATGTGGAGCTGATGTTTAGCCAGTAAAAACCTAAAGGTTTTATAATTTGCCTGCACATTCAAATTTGGTGGGAGGCAGGCGAAAACAAGAAAAAAGATGAGGGAAGTGTTTAAACTCCTAAAGGGAAAATTGAAATAACTGTGGAAGTGGAATAGATTAAATGATATAGAAGTTAAAGTTAAAATTATTAATATCTTAAGTTTGTTCCTTTGTTAATCCAAATTACATTGCTACATGCGTCGAATTTCTGTATTGATTTATACATTTTCTTATTATGTTTCAGTATTTGAACTCATGAGTAAAGGGTAAGTCTGGAATTATTATTAACCCAGCTGTTTTCTAGCACTTGCTGTTATTGCTGACCTAACTTTCCCATTCTATCTGATGTCTCTTGACTGTTTAGGCCTGTGATGGAGGTACCGACAGATAACCTATTCTCGGAGGAACAAGCACATTTTTACTTTAGAGATATCATCTTGGGCATCGAATACCGTGAGTGTCAAATGCTTCATTTCCATTCCAACAGCCTGATTGCACTTTTGCCTTAAATCTCCAAAGCTGTGCCTTCTGATGTGGTTGCTATTTTATCACAATGATCAGATTATTTTGTGCCTAAACTTTTCATGTCAGTTTTAGCCACTGCAGTTAACAATGTATAAACAATTTGATACTATGGTAACAGTCTTGAGTCATGAAATATTGTTTTGGAAAGTTTTTTGAGCGAATTTTTTATCTGCCTGTTACTCATTATGTGTTTTGGAACCTTCACAGTTGAACTGAAATGACATTAGTTTAAATTCACAAAGTTATGGTGTGAACATTCTATTTATGTAAATATGTATTGTCTAGCACAATACAGAGGAGGCCATTCAGTCCGTCTAGCTGACACCTGTTCTTACAAAGAGCAATCCAATTGCCCTACTCACCCATTCTTTCTCCAAAGCGCTGTGTTTTTTTTTATTTATGTATATTTTCTGCCAATGAAATTATCATTAGTGAAACAGTTCAATAGGAAGGAACTATTGGCCACCAGATAGGGCCCTGTCCACACTCTACAGCATGGGCATGATAGCATTGTAATGAGTAACAGCTAAATCAGAAACAACAGCATAAACTGCTATGTCGCCCCTGGATAGTCCTCCAGCTTAACACCTGGGAGCTAGTGCCAAAACAGGGAGGGCCGTCTCACAGACTACTCAAGAATGGCCTGACACAGTCATATCATAACTTAAAGACAATGCCCCAGACAACACCATCACCATTCCTAGATATGCCCTGTCCCACTGACAGGACAGACCCAGCAGAGGTGGTGTCACAGTGGCATACAGTCAGTAGGGAGTTGCTCTAAGCGCCCTCATCTTTGACTCCAGACCCCATGATGTCTCAAAGTATGATATCAGATATTGGCAAGGAAACCTCCTGCTATTTACCACGTACCATCCTCCCCCATGTGATGAATCACTGTTCTTCCATGTTGAACAACACTTGGAGGAAGCACTAGGTGCAGAGTGTACTCTGGGTCGGGGATTTCAATGTCAATGAAAGCAATGTGGTTGACTCTTAACTGCCCTCTGGGCAATTAGGGATGGGAAATAAATGTTGGCATAGCCAATGAAGTTCACATCCCATGAAAGAATAAAGAATCCAGCCATTAATGATGGAGGGCAATTAAACAACTAACAGATGAAGCAGGCTCCACAAATATCCTTATCCTCAATAACAGGAACGCCCAACGTATCTCTTGACAACAGTGTTGATGAATCCCTCAATTTCCCTACAATGTTAATATCCCCAATAACCATTCTAGATGTCAGCCACTCTGTTTTGAAATATTTAGTGATATTAGTGCTGAACTTGCCTTTTACCTGTTTGCAACACTCTTGTGGCCTTCTGTCCTGCAATCATAACTAGGCAATTTCCCACCTTTCATCATCACTAAGTAAATATCCTATGTCAAGTTGGCTGAAAACCGGCATCTGTGATGAGGAACCTTTGGAGAAGGCCAAGATGGATCATCCACTTGGAACTTCTGGCCGAAGACGGTGATGAACATTATCTTTTGCGCTAATGCTCTGGACTATTTGTGGAGCCCTTCCTCCTTTGAGCTGTTTAATTATCTACCACCATTCATGACTGGATGTGGCAAGACTACAGAACTTCGATCTGATCCACTGCTTGTGGGTTCGCTTAACTTCATCACTCGGTTACTCATCTTATTTGGAAAGCAAATACTTCTGCTTCATCGTTTCACCAGGTTGACACCTTATTTTTAGGTCTACCTGGTGCTGCTCCTGCCGTGCCCTCCTGCATTCTCCATTGAACCATGGTTGGTCACCTGCCTTGATGGCAATGGTGGAGTAGGGGATATGCTAGGTCATAAGGTTGCAGGTTGTGTTGAGTATAATTTTGCTGCTATTGATGGCCCATGGTTCCCCATGGATTCCCAGTCTTGAGTTGCTCAATCTGTACAAAGTCTGTCCCATTTAGCGTGGTGATGGTGCCACACAATATGATGAAGGGTATTCTCACTGAGAATGTCTCCACGAGGACTATACATTTTTCACTCTTACCTATACTATCATGACAGATGCATCTGTGGCAGGCAGATTGGTGAGGATGAGGTCAAGTAAGTTTTCCCCTCGTCACGTCCCTCACCACGTGCCGTAGACCCAGTCGAACAGTATATCCTTTAGGACCAGACCAACTCGATCAGTAGTACAGCTGCTGAGCCACTCTTGCTGGTGGACATTGAAAGCCCCCACCCAGAGTACATTTTGTGCCCTTGCCATCCTCTGTGCTTCCTCCAAGTGTTGTTCAACATGGAGGAGTACAGATACATCAGTTGAGATAAGACAAAATCAGCAGAAGGTTTCCTTGCTCATGTTTAATCTGAAGCCATGAGACATCATGAGGTCTGGAGTTAATGTTAAGGACTCCCAGGGGAACTCTCTCTTGCCACCCCTGCTGGGTCTGTCCTGCTGGTGGGACAGGACATATCCAGGGATGGTGATCACTGTGTGTGGGACATTGCCTGTAAGGTATGATTCCGTGAGTAAGACAATGCCAGGCTGTTGCTTATCTAGTCTGTGAGACAGCTCTCCCAATTTTGGCAGTAGCCCCTCACATGTGGCCAGATGAGGATGGCAGATTACCTTCCCTGAAGGACATAAGTGAACCAGATGGGCTTTTCCTTACAATTGGCAATGGTTTCATGATCATCAGTAGTACATATTTCTTTTTATGGAATTCGAATTGTACTATCTGCCATGGTGAGATTTGAACTCAGGTATTTGGAACGTTAGTTGTGTTTTTGGATTAATAGTCCAGTGATAATGCCACCAGGCCATTGCTTCTCCTAAATTCCAGATTTGTTAATTGAATTTAAATTGCACCAATGGTCATGGTGGGATTTGAACCCATGACATTAGAGAATTAGCTTGGCCCAGTGACACTGCGATTACATCACCGCCTGCCATTTTGAAAAGAAAATATTGCAAGTATGTAATAAGTGGACTTTGAATCTTTTTATGTAGGTCACAGGTTATTTGTGCTCTCTCTCCCCTCACAACCTCTTAACCTCCACCATTCCATATCTCCATAAACTGTTCAAGCCCTTCCACTCCTCTCTCTCTCTGCAAAATCATCCAAATCCAAGACTCTCCAGGATATCTGAGCTCCTGTAATTCTGGTTCTCTTGAGCATCTCTGATTTTAAACACTCCACCATTGGTGACCATGCCTTCAACAGCCTCAGCCCCACCACTCTGAAATCCCCACCCTACATCTGTCTGCCTCTCAATTTCTCTTTCTTTCTTAAGACAATATTTAAAGCATACCTCATGACCAAATATTTCGTCATCTAACATAATATCCCATTACTTGCCTCAGAGACATATTTTGTTTTATAATGCTTCCCTGAAGCTCTTTGGGTCATTTAACCACATTAAAGGCACTAAAGATATGTTGGATTCTGTTGTTTTTTGGAATGGGAACATAATGAACTTCAGCTGTATTGCACAAAGCTGCATTATTTGGTCAGATCATTATTTCTTAATAATAATTTGCATTAAAGTGGTATCTTTAACATGGTACACTGTCTTTGCACTTCACAGAAACAATATCAGAAGGGAATTTATAAGCTTCAGGCATAGATAGCCTGGGCCAATAAATGTGGAGCAATTCAAATCAGTAATATGTAAAAGATCAGCTTTGGTAGAAAAGCATTTGGAAGGTTGTTGGGCTGGATGATGTGACAACAATGTGGAGGTTTGAGGCCAATGTAGGAATTGAACACTGGGAGGAGAAGTTTGAATTTGAAGTGTTGCTGAACTGGGATTGTATGTAGGTCAAAGAGCACTGAGATGTTTTGGTTTTGGCTACCCACGAGAGTATTCAGAATTGTGAATTTAAGAGATAATCCCAAAGTCAAATTTATGTGATTTCCTGTTGGATGGAAGAGAAGGAAATCTGCTATCCTTGTCTGACCTACATGTGACTCCGTACCAGCAACAATGAGGTGAACTCTTATCAGCCATTCTGTTCAAGGGCAACAAAACTGGTCTCTCCAGTGACACCCACGTTCCATGAAAAAAATGAATTGCTTTCATTGCTGATCTCTCTAAGTGATTGATGAATATGATGCAGATGGTCAGACAATAGCAGTTTTCCCATCAGTTAAAAGGAAATACTCAGCTATATTTTACACAACAATGAGTCATCGGAAAATGAGACATTAACAGCCGTTAATGGCTCTGCCTGCATTCTCCATCCTTGCTGATTTTCATAGGCTAACTTTATAAGTTTGAACCACACGCTGAAGGTTTCTGAGCCAAAGCTTCCACATATGGAAGCATTAATAAAAACAAATTAATAACTAATTTCAGAGTGCAACGCAGCATGACAGAGAATGCAGGCAATGTCTTAGTGAGACAGACAGGTTCAAGGAGCAGGAGTGAGAGATTGATGAACTGCACTCACTCGGACAATAACAGGGCACTGTGGACAGCACTGGCACTCTTGTAATTTCCTTTCATGCATGAGTCCTCGTGGGTGTAGTGATTGCAACAAGGTCAGCCAGGTGAACCTCATAGAATATGAATTCTCTGCTTGGGGCTGTTAATCTGGTCCAGTCAGGGATCCCTGGCTTACAGATAAGAACAGGAGTGTCAGGAATCCTGTTCACTCTGAGGGAGCTGGATCAGTGTCAAGGACTTTCCACATGACTTGGTAATGGGATGCGCGCCTCTGTGGAGTGATTTTAGTAGGTAAATCGGAAGTGCTGAGCTTCATGAATTTCCCACTCCTAAATCCCGTTTTTGTGTGAGTCTAGTTTCCTTAGACATGACTGACCAGTCTGACTGGTGAATACGTTGGACTGATGTCATCACCACATATCTCCCCTGGGGTTACGCCATTGATTTGGCTGACAGGATTCTGCCAATTTTCCACAGGTAGTTAATGAGGAGAACCATCCCATCAGTAGCTGAAGGAAAT